CTCTAATATTTCCAAATTCCCATAATAATGGGGAATGAAAAACGCGAGCAAGTTAAAAATCGCGACGCGCCCGAACGAGTTCGCGATTATTCGAAAGACCGACTAGCGTACGAGACGTACTCTCGTGTACAAGACAACTTCATACCTCGGCACCCTCCCGATCGAACCTAGCCCATCCAGCCACCACAGACCCTGCCATGACTTACTCGCGAGCGAGAGCAGTCGACGAACCGGAGAAACATCCAAAATCAAGCCGAGGGTCCCTAGCGAGGTCCTGCAGCCGGTCACGCAGGCCCCTGCCACATGGGGGAGAAATTAATCATCCCATGGGGTCTGACCGTAGGCCCATATGCAGTGTCACGGCTACAGGACCCATACCCCGGTCGTGCACGCGCTGGTGCCCAGGACGACTAGGGCCGACAGACCCTCGGATTGATTCCAGATGAGACCCAGCCCGCCGACCACCCTAGAACCGACGCGTGACAAGGGTGGCAGTGGCGAGGATGAGTGTCGGAACGAATCGTTTGGATGACTTACGAAACATGGTGTTATCAAGTACACGAGAGTACGTCGCGTAGGCTAGTTGGTACTTAAGAACAATCGCGATTATCGCGAGAACAATTATGTTCTATTTGTTAAACGGGAGGGGTGAGAGAGAAAAAATATGAGAGGTATATATTCGCTCCAAGTTAGGTGGCATATCTTTGTACGAATAGCGCGCACATGAAACTTAGTCTAGCAGTCTATCTTATGACTACTTAGGTCTACATAGGTCTAAACACACTCATCCCGCGTCGTTCATTGATGTATCCCAAATGAAGTCGTGAGGAAACTTGAGAATCTTGAGAATTCTAAAAGCTAAAACAGAATATATTATTGTTAATGTCAACCTGAAATGAAACGGATTAGTATGAGAAAAGAAAACGAACGAATGGAAACCATGAAGGTTAACCAAGTGGAAGAAGCAAGCCACCGATGAGACAGAAACAACCCCACGATGAGATATATAGAAATTATGGACGAGACATTCGAATATTATACAAAATATTCGAATGTTCGAATGAATAGAAACGAAAAAATAAAATGTGGAAGAAAAAGAAGAATTCAAACCTGAAAGAAAATAATTTAGTCCTAAAAAATTATTAACAATCCGACGATGAGACATAAACAACCCAACGATGAGACATTCGAATATTGTACGAAATATTCGAATTCTGAAATAAAAATAAATAGAAACGAAAAAGTAACATCTGAAATGAAAAAAAATAATTAAAACCTGAAAAAACAAAAAATAATTAAAACCTGAAAGAAAGAATAATTAATATCTGAAAACAAAACAAAAATTATTAATAAATTGTTTAATGGGGTGGGGTGTGGATGGGGTGGCTAGTCCCAACCACATTTCGAACCCCCACCCCTCGCGCACAACGAAAAGTTTAACGTGTCACTTCCGAAGTCGAACGGACAAATGAGTTCTGCTGCGTCGCGTCGCTCCTTATATAGGCGCTGATCGGCCAAGCCCCCCACCCCGATCGCAAATTTTCGAACTTTACGGAATCCATTATTTATTATTTTTCCTCTATAATATCCAATAATTTATTAATTTTTTCATTTTTATTATAAATCTACGTTGCGGACAATTTATTTCTAACAATATTAATTTGTTATTAACAATAAGTGCAATAATTTATAAACTTTTGCAAATTATCGTTACATTTTAGCACGAATACGCTATAAATTCAAGTAATGGTGAATAATTTATTAATTTTTTCACCTTTATTATAAATTTTTGTTGTCAACAATTTGTTACTAACAATATTAATTTGTCACTAACTACAAATATACTAATTTATAAACTTTATTTATGCCCTTAGGATATAAATTTCGGTGACGCATTTGTATTAAGTACATTTATGCTTTAAGCAATTTGTTATTAATAATAAATTTCGTAATTTATACATTTTATATAAACTATAGTTGCACTTCCATAGGGTAAATTTCTGATACACTTTATGTCAAAATATTTCTATTTTCTCTATATTTTTGGCAAAAATGAAGTACTGCACGTAAAGTAAAAATGTTAGGAGATTTATTCTCATCTTAATAATTAGGTAAGAGTATATTTTTTAACAAAAATTTTTTTGTCGAAGGTAGTATTTCGTACGCCATTTTTACCGTCGAAGTCTTTGCTCTTATTCAATCACGTTACTTGATAATAGTACTCCGGATCTATATGTATACCAAAGAGGATAAGTATTCTATTATTTAACAAGCTTACATAACTGTTGCTCTGAACCAAATTCAATAATTCAATATTCTAAATTAATAGCAGAATTAATTTAGAATTAAACGGAAACGTTGCAAGCACCCCAAGGAATGCTCAGGAACCGCGAGGTACCAGGTAACGGAAACGCGTGATTTCATCGGGGAGGGGGCCCGGTGGTAAAACTGGTTCGCAAAATTGGCCGCTCTCGCAGGCCAATACGCCACGGCTTTCCGTGTTTTCCGTGCATCGGGCCGCTTCCGGTCTCGCGATCGAATGAGGCCACTTGGTCAACAGGTCCGTTCCATCCGATTCTCTGGATCGCGAGTGAGATTCGCATCGAACCGGTTGCCCGCTCGTGCACGCTCGTTCCCCGTTTCCAGGCTCGCGGAGGATGAAGAGAGACGCGTGATCCTCGCGACAAGATTTTCACGCGATTCGAACCGCTTGTCACGCGTTTGTCGCGTCGGAAAAAGGAGTAAGAGACGTCGTGGACCAACGTCGAAACGTTCATGGACATCAGAGGAATCCAGTCGAGGAGCTCGTTGTTTGATCGCTGCTGTTATTATCTCGAATCTGATTTCTCGCTGCCCGTTCGTTGGAAACGCTAACCAGAGAAATTGTGGACGGTAACGCGAGCGAGAACATGGAAATTGATATCATGCAAGAGACAATTAACGTGGCTTTCGATGGCACACTATTTTTTGCCAAGTCAAGGGGTGAAAATGCAGAGAAATCGGTACGGGATGACTTTTACCTTTGCTTGATTAATCCAGCTACGTTTCTCGAGCTTAGAAGTTGATGTAATTAATTTAAAGTTCGTGTTAGCGATGGTAGGATTGAAAATGGGTGATTATTTATTCTCAAGAAGGGAGGAAGAAAATTATGGTTAGAAATTATGGGAATTCGCGTGGATTTGCCCGTGTTCGAATTGTCGAGATAATATCTTCCAAGTGGCAGCGTAATTTATATCAACGAGATCTATAAAGATAGCCAGGTGTGGCCCTCTGCGTAATCCGTTCAATAGCGTGGTGACCCCATTTTTCAGTGGCTTCCGGCTCAGGAAAATTGATGACGATCCGAAGAAATGCAGAAAAACGTGCAACTAGGTAAACTAATATTTATGGAACGTTATAGAAGGCCGCTTTCCAGATATTTTCCACGCGGAGGAGCGTTTGGTGCCTAATTAAACGACGAGGATATTTCATATGGAATTATCAGAATTACGGAATAAATGAAAGACATAAACCTCAATCGCCCGACAATGAAATATTTTGATTTACTGGAATGCAACGTGGAAATGTGGAATGTAGGAATTAATTTGGGATAATGTATTCCTCCGACCGCCATTTTTACTCCAAGAATTAGCCGCGAGAATGGCAAGCAGCGATATCGCAACTCCACCTCGACCAAGAATTTCGTTTTCCATTTCCAGCGTTCTAATTCCATTCTAATTTCCATTTCATTGGATTGTTAGTCGAAATCGACTATGAGAACTGGGGAAACGAAAGTTATCAAAGTCATTGCCAACAATGACGTAATATAAATTTTGCAAAAATTGCCAATCTTTTATTTTTCGTTAATATTAACTTAACAATTAATCAAGTAAATACCAATAAATTTCGTAAAAGGAACGATTTAACCCTTATCGGACGTTAGCTTTTTATACCGTGATTCTCACTAGGTTGTAGCTGGTTTAGGTATTAACCCTTTGCGCTCGAGAGGTGAGCCTAAGTCACCGTTTAATCAAATTCCGAAGACCCATGTTAATTAACATATCAAATCTGAAATAACCTAAGATTACATGGAACGTCGAAATAAAATAATTTTAAGTCTTAATTTATACCCGATCCCTTATTTTCCGTTTCAAAAATATCCTCGACGTTACAGCAGAAAGTCTGAATTGCTATTTCTCTGTAACGAAAATAATTATCGAGTCTAAAGGGTTAAATATGCGAAAAATTTGTCACCTCCCACGCGACATACAACCACAGCAACAAAGTATTGTTGTCACGTGAGAGGTGACTTACGACTGATAACGGTTAAATATTGATAATAATTACTAATTTTCTAAACTGGGGTTTATTAACCTCTTCTGATTCCCCTTTCCCTTATTTCCGTTATTTATTCTTGTCTTATATTTCTATTCCCAAAATTTGAATTTACACTAAATGAGGATAAACATCTGTATTGTACTCTTATTTATTTCTACAAATCAATTTATAAATACTTAGTATAAAAATCTTTGCACGGTTCCAAAAATTCAGTGCAGGGTATTCTGGATGCCATGTGACAGCCATTGAGAAACCCTGCTCTAAACGATAAATAATAGTAAACGTGTAACACGAAAATCGTACTTTCTAGCGATTCCACGAGTATCTACACGCGTGCTTAAATAATATATATACAGAACTTAATATATCGATTAAAATTCCTCTCTCGTAACCAGCAACATGGCTGATCACCTCCAGTTCGAACATTAGTCTGTCAAAAAATGGCATCGTAGCGCAACGCGATTTCTAATCTAAACAGAGAGCTCTTGCCGTGAACTTATGAATCTTCAGAAGCGAAGATTTCTCGAGGATTTCGCTGGAAGATTTCGACGAAATTATACAAGGATTCGAACCGGTTAACATTCGCGCGAACATCGTAATACTATCAGGTCCTTTGACACAGAAGAGAGCAAATGAAAGCTACGCTAAAATACGCATACATTTCTGCTGAAAATCTAGTAGTTTTACGACTGGTACTCTCGATAGCCTCGATAAGCAAGATCCTGTCCATAGCTGTCTCTATGGTATCCACCAGGATACTCTGGCCCATGGTGAGCATCCTGTTCAGAGTAATAGCTATTCGAGTTCTCCTTGTAGTAAGGATAAGCTATACCGCTTTGACTGTACACTGGAGGATGATAACTCTGCGTGAGTGGCTTGTACAGCTTGAAGAAGCCGATCAGACCAGGTATGACGATCGCTAGGAAGCCGAGGAACTTCTTGAAGGACGCCAACCCGAGGATCAGTGGCAGGAACAGGAGTAATTTCAATTTGAATAGCTTCAAGACGATGAGCATGGGGATGAGCAGCTTCTTCAGTTGATGGCGAGCTGTCGGGAGGAATATAGATCAACGAATCAATGAAGAAGATGATAAAAAGGTGGGATTTTCGTAGAAGACGTACTCACAGAAGAGAGTATCCTTTTTATTCTCCAGAGTGTCAATTTCATCGGCTATCTCGTCCAAGAATCGCGGAGCATAGACTTCGTTTTCTCCAGTTTCCTCAGAAGGAACGTGCAACTCGATAGCCACGGTTTTTACGAACTTCTCTGCTTTTCTCAGAGCGAATTTCATCAGCTGATCCCATTCAGAGTCGCTAGACCTAAAAGGAGAGTGGATGAAGAGAAATTTGCACGAGCGATAGACAGAGCGATAGAGCATTGACACGTTGACTGCCAACTACGAGGTATCTCGTAGATTGTTTAACCCGTAGTATAACAATGCAAATATGAATAGATGGCATCAGGAAAGAGAAAAAATCAGGTTTGGCTTAAACGAGCAGAAAAGCTTTTCGATTATTACTATGTACCATAAATAAAGTTTTTAATAATAAATCATGATTAAATCAAAATGGCTTCTTAGATCGGAATAGTGAAAAGTTTCAGTCAACGTGTCAAACAGATGTTTCGAAACGAGTAGTACCTTGCTTCAGCTGAGTATTCGTATGGCTGAAGAGCGACGTCCTGTACCACGTCCCTGGACATCCTCACGACCTTTACGTAATCGTTCAGGTCGTAGTGAGAGTGGTCGAAGAAGTCGGAGAAGTAACTCAGAGCCTGAGACTTGAAGCACTCCGCCAGGTCGCCATTTAGACAGCCCTGATTAGTCTTCGCTATATAAGGATCTACGTTTCGCCCTGTCCCTAGACCTATCCAATCGAAGAGTCCTTTCCCTTGTCGGGTCCTGTTGGCAGCCAGCTGCTCTTGCAGCTCCGGCACGTGATTTTCTAGATTTTCAAATGGATATTTCGTATTTCCGAATTCGAATTTCAACTAGAGAATTCGTTATTTCGAATGTGGGATAGATTACCACGAGCCTCGGTCCGTTCACCGGAAGTTCCATCCTCGAAAGTGACCGACAGACAGGGTACCAACAGCGCCAGCGACAGCACCAGACTGTAGGTTACCGGCGATTGCACTAGTCGCATGCTTCTCACCTGAACGTTGCACCTGTAGTCACGTTGCTTTATCGACACCAGTTCCACGTGAAGCACTCGTCGAATAATATCCCTCGGGACGTCATTTACGCGGGGGAAAGTGCAAAGAGAAAATCGAAGAGGACTAACGAATCGTTGACAGCTAACGTGGCGCCACAGTCGTTCTGACGAGGTAACCGTGCCTTTCTCGCGTCGGGAGAAGAAGGGCGAGAAATACGAAGAGAGATTTCGAAAGGAAAATGGTTGCGAGAAAATGGACGGCTAATTCTTACCAAAACTCTGTCAACTGGTCGGCTTCCTGGACGACATGGTATCACGGTTTAGGGGAAAAAACGACGCTGGTCGCGATTCACGAACCGCACTAGAGTGTCTGCCAGACACCAACATCGATCGTAACCGCGCGGTAGATCTCGAAGTGCCGTTAGCCCGGCGGACCAATCGGGAGTCCTGGTTCAAAGGAACCGGGTCCGTAACCTTGTATTCCGGTCGCGCGTCCATGGCATTCGTTACGCTGATCACGCACGCTCTCTGATCGAACTAGCGCCGAATTTTCTTGCTTCCAGACCTAACTGGGATTCGAATTGAACGCGAGTCGAATCGAATTATCCCGCTGAAACTTCCGATTTATGACAGACATCAGCTTTGGGACCCTCCTCGAACTTTGAAGTTCTATCTAGACATTCTATGAGCCCCTCGTCGAACTTTGAAGTTCCTCGAACGTTTCGCGTATAAAGGATCGATATTACAACACCTGAGCTAGACATTCTAATTAGTTACACTACACATTACGTAACGATCAAGATCACTTCAGAGTAATCGCGCGCATCATAAGGGATTCGATTACACATACTAATGTATTTACACTTTTATTAAGTAAATTTGCTTCTCCCTCGTTGAACGTGGTAAAAGTAATGCGAACGTGGTGCCTACCTTGAAGTAGCTATCACGAGCACCGTTTCCCAAACGAAATTACAACGATGTTACAAGTTAGGAAGTTACACTAGGCATCTAGAGGACCTAGATGACCCGAGCGAACTGCAGCCGCGATTCTCACCTTTCCGATGGAAATGCAGGGAAGAAAGTCAGATGTTCTCGCGATCCCGATTCGAAATCACGGCCAATAACACCGAGGATGAACTTGGAGCAATGCGCCGCATCCGCTCGCGTCCGCCCGTCTCATTTATATGAGCGAGCGGCATGGTCGACTCGGGGTAGAGTGAGAGGGGCTGGGACGTGGGTTGACGCGGGAGCAGAGGGAAGAAAAAGACGCATAAAAATCGAAAGTGAAAGCAGTCCCCGGATATAGGACCGGAACCGGGCGGTTTTTGAACGAGGAGGGACGAGCAGGAGCGAAGAAACGAGACTGAGTCGTTGGACTTTCCTTCGTAATCAGGAGTGCGTCATCGGGCTGCTGCTTTCGTTTTCTCCCGTGCCCAACGCACACCTATGCATCAGTGTATTCTGACATGTCTTCGGGTCGGTGTTGGTGCGGCCCTTTCCTAGAAACGCGGTTGAAACCGCCTCCTGCTTGGGAAACAAAATTTCACCAAAATTGTGATAAACAACCTCTACTGCTATTAGTTCCTCGTACAGACTGTTCCCGGTAACTTCGGTCGTTTATGTAACGTGGATAGAGCATCGTCTAGAAGAGAAAGACACGATCGTGGCGCATTCACAGCGTTTTATTGACGCACTGTACAAGAACTGCGTTTATCCGCGTCGAGTGTGGGCTCCTCGAGCCTGGTGGAATAAATAAAATCGGACAGCAATTGCGGGAACGTTCGTACACCTCGCACGATTGATTAATAAATTAGAAACCGCGGTTGTTCGCGGCAATAAATAAATAACTAAGTTCGCGAAGGCTGGGCCGACGCCATTGTAGGGTTAGATAGGAATTAAGAAGGCGTCGGCGTCCCAGGCTTCGCGTCGTACGATCACTCGCTACGTTGTTGAAATTGGAACCGCTAAATCTCGGATCACTGCTTTTCCTTCGTGGAAAATCGAGACGTCATCGACGCGCGACGCCGCGATCTTCCGCGATGACTCGAGCGAACTCGGACCGTGCCTACCGGGGATTCGAGCATCGAAATATGGAATTCCACGGTAACACGCCCGGAATATTCTTCTTTCTGCAAATCGTGCGTGTCTCTAGCCGCGTATACCTGTTCATCGGACCTACTTCTGCCATTGGTGAGTCGACTATTACGTAAGAGCGCGGCATTTCAATACCGGTAATGATATACGTGGATCCAGCTATCATGTACCGTTATCATGGTCGACGTAATGATCGTTGTCTCTTTCCTTTCTCGTTCTCAGCCTTCTGGCAATTTAATTGCGCAAAATTGTTTCACCTTAAGTGTCTTTCATCTCGTTTCGATCGTTGACCACGTCACTGCGCGAGTGACAATCTGTCATCGTGTACAGGGGTATCCAGGTACGAAGATAGAGGTCTGTGAGACACTATAAATAGTCTGACATTTTCTCCATAGCAATAATCTTGAAATATATGTAAAAATGTAGCGTAGGGCGAGACCGCTGACTCGGAGACTTCAATGCCCGCATAGGAAACGCGCTTCGAGTTGCATTCATAAACAAAGCAAAGCAATCGCGAGAAATTTGAATTTTTTGATATTTAGAATTAAATACCGAATCTATCTACCCGGTGAGTCCATAAATAATTCATCGAGGGATGGACTGAAATAATTTTCTCAAAATTCAAGTCCCTAGGCTCCTAAAGTACTATAGTGTTCGGGCTATTTTCAAGAATTTTTGATTTTCCCGATGTACCATTGCAGCAAGATCTCATTCGATACCCTCGTACCTGTATACCAAAGTACAGTCAATGACCATCAACGAATCATCGCACACCCAACCGAGCAAAGACACTAAATCTCTCGATTTCGATCGGTCGTTCAGTCCCAGGATCGAATCCTCGCTGTTCTGTCTTCGTTCTTACAACTTCCTCGCGTGGACCAGCTTGTCGATGTCCTGATAGGTAGCCAGCATCGCCTGATTTTGCCTGAGAGTCTGATCTTCCTGCGCGACAGCGCAGTTCGCGTAAGCTTCCTCGCATTTCACGCCATCTTGCCCGTCTTTGGCGGCCTTCATGTACCGGAAGAACCTCAGCACGTCGGGATTGTCGCTGCTGGGTCTTCTCAGCTCGTTCAGCTCTCTGGACAGCTGCGCTGACACCAGATTCGAGTACGGTGCGTACCTAGCCGGACTTCTGTACATCGCGCACACCGCGTACTCTCTGCAGCCCTCTGTCGTGTGGCCCAGACGAGAAAACACGGCGTCCAGGCGAGACAACAGAGGAGAATAGAAGGGATCATAGTTGGTCAGCAGCAGTGAGCTCGTTGGGATCTCGTGGAACACCTGTTGGTGGTGAACATTGGTGTCTCAATTTCTCGTGCACAAAAATATATTTGACGAATAACGCGAATAATATGTGAGAGGTTAGATTGTTATCTATGAGAAAGTCCTCGAAGCAAAGTTAGTGAGACAGAAAATTGGTGGAGATTGGAAAGTGATACCTTAAAATCTTGCTTCTTAGAAAGCCCATGTGCAGCCACGTGCCTAGTGTAATAGCGATCAGCAACGGCATTTGCGTGTGTTATTCTAGGATCGACGAAGGAATATCTAGAGGCGATTTCCGGATTCTTCTGGGACTGCATCATGCTCTCGTCGTACATCGCCGAGGCTGGCAATGTACCTACCGGTTGTCGTGTCAGGTAGTCGTCGTTGTACAGATCGGAGTTATCCTTGAACTCGAAATTCTCCTCGGGCTGCGGCGTAGTATGCGACGACTGCGCAAACGATGAGACTCCTGCAAGAAGAAATCGGTAAATTTCGATACTCTTCTCGATATAAATAATTAACAGATAACAATTACAGTAATCGTGTATCATAGTTCACAAAAATAATTTGAAAATGAAATAGGTATTAGATTGGGCAGAAAGTAATATCGGTAATTTTTGTATAAAATGGTAGCAATTTTCATTTATCTTTGACACTTGGCCATATTGTAAACAGTTATCGAGTCTAATTATAATATAGTTATAATATATTAGATACGTTTAACCCCTTGCCCTACGATTTAAGATTCAACAGCGTTTTGGTCCCAAAACGTAGACAGAACAGTCGAGCCCACGAGGCATTCCACGATTAGGCAAATCTGTCTTAAGTTGTACCAAACGCACATGACTTACGTGGGGTGTCATGTCATCAATAAGATGAATATAATTCGGGAAAATTTAATTTAATAAATTACAAAAATACAAGTGAAATTAGACAACAAACAATAAAAATTAATAATTGAAGTAGGGCATATCGAGAAACCATGGGCGTGACACGTGGTGTTTACATTTGGCCCGGCTGACGTACCACGTACCAGGCCCGTGATAGTCAATTTCGACCCGACCGATGTACCACGGGCCAGGCTCGTGATAATCAGTTTTGGCTCGACAATCTGACCACGAGTCTCGCACGTGGTTGTAGGCCAAAGGGTTAACAGATTAGAAACTGCTCTATTTATCATAAAAATCCGATATTACTCGTTGGACGAGTAAACAGAACAAGCACGTACCTTTGCCAACGATATTACCGATACTTCCTATGATACTTGGCAGGAATAGTGCGAGTAGCACGCTCTTAATGATCTGCACACCAAAAATCAGAGGTAGAAGCAGCTTCTTGAGGCCAAATGCTAGAAAACCAAGTCCGAATCCTGTTAAAAAGGTACTCTTTCC